ACCCGATCAATAGATCCGCCAGTCCGAAATTCGAAAAACTCAGCTTAGGAATACGTTCTCCAACGGCAGAAAGAAATATTTCGGCGGCGCAGAGGCGCGCGTCGCCGCTCATAAACCATCTCCACCATGAGAAAAGAAAGGGGAGCCAGAAGGTGGTCCTCCTCATCCCCTCGAGGAGCTACGGGACGAATACCGATTCGTCAGCGGCCGCGAGTAGAAGGAGGGTTCCTCCCGCTGAGTCGATGGAATGGTAAATAAGGCAGTCGGTAGGCAGGCGTTATTTATGGGGATGTAATTTAATAACTGAAAGATGAACAGGGAGAGATAGCAGTGACGCCGAGCGTAAAGCCGAAAGTGGCATGAAAGTAGCAGCCATCCTATTGGCCGCCCCCGGTCCCTGGCCTGCTGGAGAACAGCCGGCCATATGGCCTCGCTGCTCTCGCGCCGCTCGGAGGTTCCGGGGGTGCGAAATGATATGGAAGTAATGGAGAGCAAAGCAGACCCCGTTGCGCCTCTGCGAGAGATTGACCCGCACGATAGTGGGAAAGTAAAGGGAAAGGGGGAAGGAGAAAGACAGACCGACTCGGACGCGTTACTGTTCACCGGACAGAGCGATGACAGATTGATACAATTCCATCGAGATTCGCCGCGACAGATTTCCTGCCAACTGTTGTTGCTTCGCTGATCATTACGTCGAATTAAACTGACGGGGTGGACTCGATCAATCGACTACGTCGATCTCGAATAATAGATACGTCTAAAGATAATGAAGACACTTCTCCGGATCTACATCGATTTCATAGGGGAAGTGGTTGAAGGAATTCCTCTTTCGAGACTGCTCGCGAGAGAATTCGCTAGCGGAACGACACGAAAACTCGGGGAAGTCTTCCTCGAAGCTGTATATCGACTTCATCGAAGCCGCAAGAAAGGACGAAACGCTAGGCACACGCGAGACCGTTACGTCGGTGGCTGCGTCGAGGAAACGAGAAGAAGGAGGCTGTGAACCCGGCGTAAAGCCCTCGGGCGAACCTCGCTCCTTATCGATCTGCCCCTGAGACTCGCGCGACCAAGAAGGCACGACGAGGAGGGCCGGTGAGATTCTCCGGGACGAACGGGAGGGAACGAGAGGCCCGAACGAACCCGGAGGAGTCGAACGAATCCCGGAGTTTGTGTACGTGCGAGATAGACCTCGACCGAGAGACGACTACTCGAGCGTGACTCCGCAGCCGAAGCCGAGCCTATCAATATTTTCTCCCAAAATCCGGCGCGGCTCCATCGGCCGATATCTCTTTTCTTATTTTCCACTTCTTTGGCCTGGTTGGCCTGCGTCTTAACTCGCCTGACGAATGGGAGCAGCGGTTCCCATTCGTCTTCGCTAATTGGTCGATTTCGCGAGGAGGAAGCTCGATTTGTCCATTTTACAGATCCTCCCTTAGTAGTATCGGAGTTCTGATTCGAAACGGACGACGATCGAGTCGTTGCGTTGGACATTTTTCAACGTGCATGGAGCTTTGTTGAAAGATTGAGTTGACGGAATGGTAGTTTCGATTTTTGAGATCGGATTGAATTACTTTTTATTAGCGGTAGATTCGAGAACTGGAAATTCGTGAGATATGTCTTATAATATTAAATGTGAAATGTTATGTTAGTAATAAATGAATAATTTGGTGATTAAAATTATCTGTTAGCGGTGGTAAGCTTCTATCAATTCCGGTAAGTATGTTTTCACTTCAAATACTTAAAATGTATATGGAATAATTTGTATTCGATGAAAACAGGATATATAGAGGTTTAAATCCTCAATACCCGCTAAGTGTAGTTCCAGGTACAAATTCCAGAACGAATGAACCGCGACACGAATTTGACGCGTTCGTGTCCATTAAAGAACAGGGCAAAAAGGGGTGGAAGGGTTGCCCGGTCGGCGATTCCTGAAAGCAGAAACAAGCTCTGACCAGTTAGCGTCCAATCTTATCCCCGTTCTTCGCTTGTTTTTCCGCCATCCTCGATCCCGTCTCATGCTCAGGATATATAACTGTTATTTTTCGCGAAAGCCACTCCATTATTTCGCCTTCCTCGTCCGTCTTTTTTACCGGCACCGTGTCATCCCTCTCTCTTCCTCCTACTTCTGTCTCTCCTCCGCGGACTGTCCCATTTCGGAGTGCCCCGGCGAAGCGAGACAATACATTATATTAGCCGTATCATTATTTCTCCGTACGAAAGCTGGCTGGAAGCTAGAAAAACCGAGACACGCTCATAATGGGAGAAATCCCGGCGTGGCCGCGGCATGGCCGCTGATATTCCCAGTTCCTGTTACCACGGAGAGAAATCTCGCCCGATATTTCGCGTGTCTCCGTTAAAAGCTTCGAAATTCTCTTGTTTCCAAAGCCACCCCTATGCTAGCAGAATTTCACCCTCGATTTCGCTCCAACTCCCACCAAATTCACTCGTAAACTCTCTTTGAAAAGAAGAACAACTTTTCGACCGCTTGATAACGAACGATTACTAAAAACACGTCGATTTCTCCGAAACCAGCAATCCATTATCGATCGGCGGATCTTTTCAAGATCAATCGACGTGAACAATCACTTAAAGGGTTAGAGAGCACGGTCGCCGTTGGTACGGTTTTCAGGCGGAGCCATCGGGCCTTCTCTTCTATCCATTGCTCGCCGAGCGGAAATACATTTACGTAGACGCAGACAGGCCGGAAGGTTGCGGGCGCGGGCGTGTACGTGAGTGGGTGAAGCTAGGTTGGATAAGGTGGGCCATGTAGATGGCTAGGTGGGTAGGTAAGTATCCGCGGGGTAAGTTTTTCCAGGCGATCTGTTCTCCGGATTCAGATCAATACCCGCCATCTGGGCCTTCGGTCGGGGGATACGGACAAGGAGGAAAAGGAGAAGGTGGATGGAGGAGACCGAGGGAAGCTTGGCCTGGGGAAACAGAGTGAGAAAGACGGCGACGTGGAAGAGGGAGGAGGTATCAAGAGGAAGGGAGAGAAAAGGTTCGAAGGTGGAGGAGTCACTCGAGCAACAAGCCACCGCCGCACCCTCCACTGCAATCCTAGACACATCGAAAACCTCGGCCAGAAAGCAATTCCTGTAGCTACATACGCCCACGTTTCACGCTGCCGTGACTATGACGACACCATTCGCGTCTTCGTCCTCGCGAAACACCGGAAATATGCCAGCGACCAATGCTTACATCGCACAGGATCGTACACCAAATATTCGTCGAAATGAATCGGACACGGCGATTCGGGTAATTAGTTGCGCCATTGTTAAACAAAAAATTTGAAACCGTCACCGCGCTTTCACTTTCCGGCGATAGCTCTTTTCGCAATTCGTTGGACAGGCAAAAGTGTAGGCTAATTGCGGTTTCGTGCGGCTTTTATTTCGGAATTGACGGAGATTGGAGAGTGTTTATGGTTTAATTGAATATCATTGTAAATGTGATGTATTCTATGCTTGAATGTCAACATTTTATCCATATTTACGCGATACTGTTCCTAAATTTTGGTTGGAAGAACACGTGAAAATCTTTACAATCCTAGTGTATAATTTTAGTATATTTTAAACACAAAATTCGACATTAATAGAATAAATAAATACCTGATTTCATTTCAGCAAATTAATTCGAGAGAGTCACTATATAAACAAACAACTGCAAGCGACAACAAAATGGTTCCCATCGCGACACCTAACCTCAATCTGAAAACGTTGAATCCCATCCAGACGAGCCCACCGGCCGTCGCGGAGAAATTCAAAGTATCGAGCAGTCAAGGCACCACAGCCCGGAGCCTTAAATCGTCGCGCGTAACGCTTCCGGTCGGGCTAACTAATTTGCGTGCGTTTCCATTAACGCCCGTGGCCGACGGAAATCGCGTTAGTGGATTTCACTTGCAGGCCAATTCGATCCGCATTACGCTCGATTACATTATCAGGCCTGCGGCCTGAAGGGAGGCCGAGATAGAGGGTGGGGGAGGAGCTGCGAAGTAGGTGCGTACAAGGGAACGCCGGGTGAAATGGGAGATAAGATCTTAAGTAGCGACTGATTAAATCTCGGGACATATGTGTGTCGATCAATGGTACTCTCCTTTCTCTCCCCATCTCTCCTTCTCTTTCTCTCTAGGTTTCTCTCCCACCCTATGGTCTCCTTTCGAATGCTCTTTCTCTTATCCCGTTGGCTTTTCTGTCGTTCGAAAGGGGGGATGATCCACTCGTTCAGTTTGTGCGGTGCTGATACGCTGTAATGCTGTCCCACGGGACCGCGCCTCCCTGTTTCACAGAGCATCCCTTTGGATACTCGTGTTCTAGCCCTGTTCTAACCCCTCCCCGCCGCCTCGATCTGCTGGGCGACGTAAAAACACTTGAATTAATCGGCCCATTCCCGAAGGAACCTGCGAAAGGTCAATCGGATCGGGGTGTCGGGCCGGGTGTGCACTTATCTCGATGCAGGCACGGGGTCGTGCTTCGCGCCCCTACGAACCCGCGTTAGATAACTAATCGGTCCCATTGGCAATCGGTTGCAGCATATGCCGCGAGCACTTAATTTCTTCAATCGTTCTCGACGATAGTTCTCGCTGCTACGATTTTTCTGGTCAGTGAGACGCGAAATGGCAATGATTGATCGGAATTACGGATTGGAGTTTCGAGGGGGTTGGAAGTAGTTTACTGGGTTTTTGAGTGGCGGTGAAGGTCTCTTTCTGTTGATTGTTTGATCGGTATATAGGGAATGTTTGTTTCATCTGTGGCACCGTTTCATTTTGTAGGAATTTGTAAATAGCTTCTGTGCAATCATTTCGTATACGCTTGATTATAGCAATGAGTACTTTTTTCAATCTAATTTTAATCGAGATAAATGGTATCTTTGAGGTGAATTTTACTATTGTAGAATAGAAATTAGTTTCCACTGTTGAATGTTTCATCAGAGTCGATACGTGAATGCGTATCTTGAGAACATCTATTTCATGAATTTTCTTTTTATTATTTGATATTCGAACTTACCGATTAATGGAGGAGACGGATGGCACGTTGTCCTGAGAACAAATGCCTTCGGCGAGCAGCCTGTCCCTGATCTCCCACGCGAACATTGTTGGATTGTCCCTCTTGTAGTTCGCGATCGCCTCGACCACTGGTGGCGTTGCTACTTTCGGCTTGGAACCACCTATGACGCCGGCCTTGAAGCTGCCGGTTTCATAATACCTGTGGACAGGAAAGATCAAACTGATAGATCGTTGAAAAGATTCTGTCACGATTAGGATCATGCAACTAGGGTTTCGTCGCTTGGATCAACAGCATTTATCGCGTCTTCATCTTGTTGCCCAACTCATTTTCCACACTTTAGTGTGTTTAAACTGATAATAATATAATTAACATAAAATATAATTTTTCCTTCATTAAAAAGATTAGGAATACATTTTATATAATAATTATTCGTTTCCGAATTAATAATCATGTTTGACAATCTGAACCGATAATCCTTATTTACGGGAGCACAATACAATATTTTGTCACTTTGCGCAAAAAACAGATAAATCTATAACCAATTGGACATGAAAATCACGATTCAGTGAGCCAGATCGATTTCGAGCTTTCCCCGAATGATACCGATTATGACCGCTTTCTGTTCGTGCTATTTCCTGCCCACTAATCGCTCTTTCTTTTTCCTCGATCTCTAATCTGCCTATCAAATTGACGATCCGTATCGAGAAATCAACTTTTACCACTTCATCAACTGCTCGTCGCACGAAACGAATGAATTTCTTCAGTCTGTAAACTCTTTCATTTTCCAAAGTAAGTTACATAAGTTTCGGTACACTTTCAAAGAGTCCGTAATAGGTTAAAAGAATTTCAATGAAACACTTACTATCACCACTTTATTTACAAAAATAAATTACCATTATTTTTTCCCACACAACATCCATTATTTCATTCAATCCGACACACTCGCCGAAAAGTGACAAAAAAAGAAAATGCAACAAACGGTAACAATTCCGAACAACGAGAAGCACCGAATTTTAACCTTCAACGTACCCAAACTTCTCGACGGAAAGCGCAAGATCACGATCGGCTCAAGAAACTCCAAAAGAAACGGAATCAAACGGTACCAACAGCGTTCAATTACTAGCCGGCGAACAATAGCCCGCGATCAAAAGCTAGACGCCGTTTCACGCGCGTTGATCAAATAGTTGCGAGCAAAGACGATCCTACAAAGATCCGGCTCAAAGGAACGATACCGCGGACGCTGTTCGCCGTATCGTTTCGGGCAAGTGATTTAAAATCCGCTAGGCGAAGCGGTCACGGCGTTGAGCGGGTACAAAATTGGCGAGATATCCAGAGCCGACGCCGGCGGCGGCGGTGGCGGCGGACCCACATCCATCAAGGCGGCCCACAAGCGCACCATTATTGCGGGCTTTCTGCCGTAATTGAATTTAAGCACGAGCGAAGATATTATTTAACTAATTAGGCACAAAGGGCGCGTTCACGGCGGGCCAATCGCGATTGGCCATCGCGCGCATAGCGTATAACCTGGCCTGGTGGGAGGCTGCCAGAGACGCCGTGTACACGCGGC